CGGAGTGGAAGATGTTCGTTTTCGTCAATGGATCAAAGGGTAGCATGTTTGCAAATGGATATAGTGTTCTAGATAGCCTTGGAAAGATATGGGACGAGATACCGGCATTTGAGGACTGATTGTTGTTTGATATAGCAGAATCATCTCGCCCCCGCATGCGTTCAATAACCCGACAAAGTAGATGGTGTGGTTGGAAAACGCCATGGCATTGGCTCAAACCACTCGCAATTTGGCGAGCGTAATGGCATACTACCTTATACGGCCCCGAGGGGCTATGCGCAAGGCAGAGAATCTGTTGCTGCGCAGTGCATGCGACACATCCCCTGCTTATGTCAAACGACAAAATCTTTTACGAAGGTGGATGCACGGTAGGATCAATAAGCAGGTGTATTTTTCTCAAACACAAGAGACGAATCGCCATTGAGCTACGATGGCGATTGTCGGGTGTATATGCCTGGGTCGAGTCAGCTCGGGCTTATTTAGGCTAGGGTGGAAAGGCTGTCCTGAGAGGACTGCACTTCGCATATTAGTTGACAGCCCCATTCAGCTGGCAATCTCATGTCAGCTTACAGTCTCAAGCTTGCCTACTCCATGCTTTCATGACGTCTTTCCCTGCGGAGCGGTCCGTTCAGCGAATTGTACGATCAATAATAATAGGACGGGCATTCTGCAGAAAGTTGTGTCACCAAAGGCCACCGGAATTGCACCAAGCACTGTTGTCGAAAAGGCTGTGAAGGGTGCGTTGCGGCATTGGTTGAGGATCATGCCCCGCAGTCGCGCACGCGAGCGGTAACATTCGTCAGATCTTGCGTGCAATCCTGAAGCTTCGTCAAAGAAAGTCGTGCGGGTCTTTATTGTGCGGATGTAATTATATTGTGTTGCCACGTAGATACAACGGTACCTAGATGCGTGGAATGAAAAGTTAGCCGCTTGCTATCGCGTCGATTAACCACAGGAAAATTGTAACTGGAGCACTTCTGCTTTGGCTAGAGACGTTTCGAGGCTGCAGTGGAGTGCGGGCGGGACCGGGTGCTGAGCCTGCAAAGCTTTCCGGCTCCGCGCCCTCACCTGGAGGAATATTAGCCGTGTTTTCTGCGCTCTGTCTTCTAGTATCAAGCAAAGAGGTGGATATTTTGCAAGTTCGCGACAAGATAGGCGCTCGGCATACCGTTGTGGACCCGCATACCCCGGCCCGCAGCCTTAGTGCCTCCCAATCATCGCTTGCCATCTCCCGAGGGAGCAGCCGCCCGTTGCGCGTTGAGTCGATAATGAGTCCAGATTAAAGGTCTTTCTCTTTCGAGAAGGTCCTCGATCCTATGGCGGAACAGTCGCTTAAGCTTTCGCTTTGTACTGTGATGGTCGCACAGCGTCTCCCTTGTGCCACCATAAGCACACAGATTTACCAATCGACAGCATGCACATCGGTTGCGTTACATCTATCGATGCGCTTTCCACGAGAGCGCCCGATTTCATCGTCATTGGCGGCGGTATCGGTGGTTTGGTGGTTGCCAATCGTCTGAGCGAGGATGCGGACAAGAGCGTGCTACTGATCGAAGCTGGCGCCAACCGACAAGGAGACCCCAAGATCGACACTGTTGGTATGCTATCAACGCTTTATGGAGATCCTGACTATGATTGGGACTTCATGTCTGAGCCTCAGGTGAGTCCAGCGGCACGATGCCATGTTGCCGTTGAAGAGAAAATCGAACGCAACTGACAATCGCGCTCACAAGACACATGTCAATGGTCGACAAATACCGCATCCCCGAGGGAAGGTTCTGGGGGGATCTTCAGCCATCAACTTTGGCGCGATTGTATATCCTTCAATGGCCAACTTTGAAGCCTGGAGGGCACTGGGCAATGAGGGTTGGGACGCTGCCGGAATTGCGCCATACCTTCGCAAGTTCAGTCGGTTCACCCCACCAAGTGCGGAAACGAAAGAACTCCTCAACATAGACTACATCAATGAGGAGCTGCATGGCAAAGACGGCCCTGTCCCTGTAACAATTCCAGACGTGTATGGGCCATTCCAGGCCTCGTGGGCCAAGACCCTGGACAAGATGGGTTGGTGCAATACGGATGATCCTATCGAGGGCGAGAAGTTGGGTACATTCGCGTGCGGACTGTCCATCGATGCCGAGACGAAAACTCGCGGCTATGCAGCGTCAGCATACTACACCCCGGAAGTTGCGAAGAGGCAAAATCTTGAGGTCTTGACGGAAGCATTTGTCGAAAAGATACTGACGAAGAGCTCTGACAGCTCCATAGAGGCCACGGGTGTGCGTGTGCGAACAAAAGATGGATCGAACCATGAGATCGTAGCGAAGAAAGAGGTCATCCTTTCTGCGGGAGCCATTCAATCACCGCAAATCCTTGAGCTTTCCGGAATCGGTCAGAAGGAACTCCTTGAGAAGCATGGTATACCGGTAGTTCTCGATAGCCCTGGTGTGGGTGAGAACCTCCAAGACCACGCCATCTCTGCTCCTTCCTTCGAGATTGCCGACGACCAGTTCTCTGGAGACATCATGCGTGATCCAAATATCGTCCAGGCCGTACTCCAACAATACATGACCACCAAGACCGGCCCGCTCGTCGGTATCCCAATCAGTTTGACCATGCTTCCGCTCGTCGACTCTGATGGTCGCATCAGCCACGAAGAGATTGCGAAATTGACAAAGGAGTACATCAACGACAAGGGACTGCCACTCTGGAAGAAGAAGCAGTACGAGCAGCTCGAGAAGCAAATCCTAGGCCCCAAGGAAGCAGCAGGATACGCGATGATGCTGCCACTGCAGTTGAACATCTCTCCTGGCGCTACGCAGATGAACGCATTGCTTGCACCAACTCACCCCAACAACTTCATCACAATAATGGCAGTCAACAATCATCCCTTCTCACGCGGCTTCTGCCACATCCGATCAGCAGACCCGAAGGAAAAGCCCATTCTAGACCCCCAGTATCTTTCTCATCCGCTGGATCTAGAAATCCTCGCCCGTTATACGCAATACATCGAGACCATCGTCAAGACCGAGCCGTTTGCTTCTCTTCTCAAGCCAAGTGGAAGGTTGCCGGAGGGCAAAGAAGCTAAGGATTTGGATACGGCGAAGGAGATCGTCAAAGAGCGATTATTGAGCACGTTTCATCCGACCGGTACATGTGCGATGATGCCGAGGGAACTGAATGGAGTCGTCGACAGCAGATTGAAGGTATACGGAACAAAGAACCTTAGGGTCGTCGACGCGTCGATCTTCCCGATGGAGACGTTGGGTAATATACAGGCAACGGTGTACGCTATGGCGGAGAAAGCAGCCGACATCATCAAAGATGACTGGAAGATGTGAGAGCGATATACGAGTACATTCGTATAAATACAGGGAATCGAGATCAGCCTATTCTATCACTGTCATCACATGCCCACGACGCTCGAAACTGGCGTCTGAACGGTGTTAGAGGAAAGTCATACGGGTGATGTTCGAATTGACTTGCTCGACTTGTTGGTCTTCAGCTCTGCCTACCACGTCGACCAACCACGCTCAACCGCTTGCTGATACGGCTCGAGCGTGATGTTTTGCGTATCGCCGTTGGAAAGGTAATACATATCCTCGCCCGCATGCTGGGGGCCAACACCATATTCTTCCCCCTTTTGAAATACTCGAAGATCGACTCGATTTGGCGGAAGTACACCATCAACCGCACATTCTTCCATTACTTCCTCGGCCAATACATGAAGCTTTTCTTCGGGGAGAGGATCGAAGCTTATACCGCGTGCAGGCTGATTGTCCGTGCGCCAGTTGGCTCCTTGGTAGCTGTAGAGACGCCCTCGTAGCCAATCACAATTTTCGTATTGTATGTAACTCGGTACGAAGCCAGGTAGACTACCGCTTGGTATGATTGATGTCTCATAGTGTATGATCTGGCTCGAATAGTCGCCTCTGTGGCGTTTATCCTCGAGATAGTGGGCGATGCAGGCTTTGTCGCATTCTTCAACCGTTACACCAGGCATAGGCAGGAAATGTAACTCCAGACGGTAGGGACATCCATAGGCAGAGTACGGGGTGTCTTGGATGAGAGCTTCGAGAAGTTCAACCGGCTGGACATTCCCTGGATTGACGTCTTGATGGGTGAAATAGACGTGGAAACTGTAGAGCGGTGGAAGTGGACAAGTTTGTCTGCCTCTGAACACTATGAGCGCCTCTTTGCCAGCATGGTCGGTGAATGGAAGAACATGTATTTTGACGCGATATATGCGACCTGCTTTCCCCAGTCCTCCCATGGTTGCGCAAATTCTGTGTAATTCCAAGGTTCAGGATGCGGGTGACTGCTGGCTGAGGACGCTCTGTGGACGATAAGAAGGGGGCGTTGGCGCCTGATCGCGGACAAGACGCCAGGGCACGTGCAGGACCAAGGCTAGCCGGATTCATCAACCAAGCTAGCGGGAGGCATCTCAAGTTATGTCTGATCAGGTCTCGGTTGTACGTGAATGTGTTCAGGTGTGATGTGCGCGACCTTCCGCACTTTTCCAGTAGTTACGCAGTTTGCCTGTGGAGAGGACACTTCTTGGTGGCGGCTTTCGTCATGACTCCGCACGTACACGGAAAGAACTGCAGAGACTGCATGACTGACAGTGCCCTGTTTAGACTGCGCGACGCCGGTGGAGCGATAGAGAGGTTAACAGCGTAAATGGTGGGAACAGTACCCGTCTTCTGGTGTCGTGATGGGTGCGACGCGTCGACGCGAGTGTGACGCGTGAGGTCTGTGCTTGCGGGGATGCCGTGAAACCCCGTTGGGCAGCATCACGTGTCAACTGGAGCCTTGGCTTTAGGGAGCGGTCAACTTTTGGTTCGCAGCAAAGACTCGAATATCGCAGCAACGCATATAAGCCAGCAGTAGCACGCCTCCGTATCTGCTCTCGGTTTATCGCGACTACCGCAGTCTTACTTCTCCCACGACTCCATCCTTACATTAATTCTTCACACATCCAAGCCATCGCCGACGAAACAATGGCCGACGGTGAAAATCCCCTACTCATCGACGATATCAGTCAGGCTGACCCGAACAAATACCATCCGTCCGAAGTTCTACTCTACAAGTGGTATACCGCCAAGCAAATAGCTAGCAGCCAAAACCGTTCAGCCCTCCGTGCGTCAGCTGCTATGCGAGAGGCGCTGGGTGAGGTACCACCCCGAGTGCCGTGGCCTCTTCCATTTCGTCGTCCGCGCGAGCAATTAGAGATTGGTGTCGAAGAGTGGAGAGAATCAAGTCTGCGCATCATCGACCAGCGTATCGCACTCTACGACCCAAAGTCCTCCGGAAAGCGTTCCCCACTTGCGACCCCTCCGGCCAAATCGGAAAACCAGAATGGCCTCCCCCATCGCGCCTTGGGTATCAAGGAGCTGCTTGAGCAGATACTCCGATACGCCACGCCAAGCGCACAGTACGCTGCATGGAACGTTTCGAAAGGATGGAGAGATATGGTGAGATACATCCTGCAAACTCAATTCCGTATTCCATATCCGTGCGGACCTGTCGAGTATGGTGACGCTATTCAGCCTGACCTGAACTGGTTGCAACCATCCGACTCCGAGATCGCAAGGTTTCAGGAAATCGTGGATCAACTGTTGCAGAACTCATATTGCGGGTTGTTCCCCGACTCCTTCTTCACGGCACGGCTGTCGCATGCAGACAAGCTGCCACAGTCGACATTCGATGAATTCGCCGCATTCTGTGAATGTGTTCTCCCAGTAGAGTCTACGGCAGCGCCTCTTTCTCGAGATGATGGACCTTGCTGGATGGATCTTAGTCAATTCGAGGTAAACCCACACTTCACCGACCGGTTTGGGGATAGTCTGCAGCCGTCGGATGGTGGCTACGCTCTTACTATAACGCCTCACATAAAGCGACATGTGAGAGATCAGGCATTGATGCCAGAGCTGAACCAGCTCATTCACAGCATGTTCCTTACGAATCCCCCATGTAAGGGCTTGGGTATATACGCCTTTGGTCCGGAGACGAGATTAAGAGACTTAGAACTAATTGAAAGAATCCACAAGGTGGACGGCATTCGTATTGGAGATCTGTTGCCACGAATCCAGCAGCATCTCTCCGTGGCAATTGAGCGCTGGCGCTATAGATCTCTCTCTATGCGCGAAGTCATTGCGGAAGAGTCGTGGACCAGAATGTCGTCTGACTCGGAGAAACTCTCAAAGTGGACTGAACCTGGCGTTCCGCAACTCCTGTTCTTTCTCGAGTCAGCGGATCATAATGAATTTGATCCAACGTTGGCACAATCCCTTTTTCAAACTCGCGATTCCTGGATCGAGCGCGAGGCACAGTGGAAACAACCTATCTGAAGTCTACGTTACCTTCGGACTTGTCAATCTTCGTCTTGGTTTGAATGTACACCGTAGCGCAACGGGTTAAATCCGTTCCTCTCATGAGATGTAGGCACCGAGAAGATGAGCGATGCGATGAACAAGACGCTGATGATGACGCGACAAGGTCGACTTACATGATCTTGTAGTGCCACACATCTCCATAGCCTCAAAAAAAAACCCCCCAAGTATCACTCCCACGCTCCCTTCCTTTTAGTGACAAGATTAGCCACACCTACATTAGTCCTACTTAGTCGTACACCCACCACACCTCTCATCACACTATGCAGTTTATGTTTCCCTCGTGGCAGCCTCAGCCTACGTGTCTTATTTTCCTTTTCCGTTCGGCGTCCGCGCATCCGAACTCTTGGGGAAGGAAAACAAAGGAGAGAACCCGGCGTCCCCAATTTGACCCTCACGTCACTATGCGCGCAAGACGAGATTAGGACGGGGGTACAATTACCCGGCCGATCTGGTATCGGGTGCTGGATCGGGAAGGGAGTGGTAGATGGAAGTCTAGCATCGCCTTTGCACGGACGCTAGAGTGTGGAGGGGATTGGTGATGAGAGAGCCGGAGTGGGTACCCGCACTTTTGAAATGAGTAATCGGATATGCAGAGACCACGGTGGGTATCTTCCAAATAGAACACTCAGGAGATACTCGCTGGAAATGTCTGGCTGCCCCTTTGGACCCAGTCTACCATCGCGACTAATCAGTCGGCAGATCGAAATAACCGCTGCACTGACGATATGGAGATACTAGAAAGAAGTTTAGCACAGCTTCCAGGCAACCAGCACGGTGCTTCCAACCCGGAAGAACTACCGATGGGTGACGACGTGATGAACCGTGAGTAATCGCGGGTACCTGTGCAAAGCATGACGAACGCGATATCAGTGCTCGACTACCGATGTAGTCGCCATGGGACATCGCTGATGAGTGTGGCTTCGTGATCGTCGGCGACATGGGTTGACCAGGGGAGGCGAGATGGGCTGAACAGAGTCGAGACGTTCATCACATCGTATCGTGTAGTTATTCGCTGATAACCTGAAAGGAAGTGACGAGTCAGCACACTGAAGGACGTGCAGACGCGCATACCCTTCCGCGTGGCACTTGCAAGGAAGAGCCAGAGCATGTCGAGCCGATATAGTTGCCGCCGTCTTCGGGGAATTTGCTAGGTGCTGTATTAAGTTGTAGCTACTTCACTACCAAGATTGCAGTGTGGATCGGACACGATGGTCGTGACAATTATCGATCACCGTGGATATCATGATCACGCCTCTGGTCGTGATGCATTCCTGCGGACTTATAACGTCCTTGTTGAGAGCGATAACCCATGCTGAGGACGTTTGTAGTCTTCAACGGTGTGATGCTAGGGCCAATAGCTGGTCAATTGGAAGCCGTCCCGCAGTCGCATATCTAACCGTTAGGACATGACTGGTTTTGTAATGCTCTGAATCAGTCCCGATATGGCGCAATCAAAACACACTTCCGAGGAGTCAACAACATGTTGAGCGACGAAAGGGGACATCGATCAGCTTGGACATGTCGTGGACGTCCAATCGTATGCTGTAGCCGGCACCAGACGGGAAAGGGAAGCTTTGTCACTTAGCCGCTGTGGTTAGCGGGTCTCTAATTCGAGGCCGTACCCCACAGCACTGGACCCACGCGGGTGCCGAGATAGGGACAGGAGCTGCGCCCGTGTTGTGGGAGTGGTTTTTGGTAGCCAATACTTGGGGAGCTGAAAAGTAAAACCGTTGCCAACGAGCGAGCACGGTGGCTTCTGTATACACGACGTCGTGTGCATGTCGGTAGATGAGATGCATGTGCATGCCTCCAGGGAGTGGAGCACAGCCGCGGAAGGATCATTAGTGTTTTGACGGTGGAAGTACGTAACGGCTGAGTATTCCCAAAGGCCAGGAATTGCTGGCGGGGAAGCGGCTTGGATAGAGTGATCTTTGCAAGGAAGAGGGATGAAGTCTTCACAGGACCGGGACCAGGTTTCTTGAGTGCGGAAGTCAATCGAGGCCTCGTACATCCAACTCGAAGTTTCTGCGTGGCGCAATAGATGCCGTCTGAGGCGCCCGCATAGGCGTCCCTGGTCTTAATGGGTCTCGTAATGTGGATCGCGTGAGTCTCGAAACAACAGCCATGTGTACCTGAGGGTAGGCTGGATCGGGGATACCGCTTACTGTGGCTCCTCTGCTCAAAGACACAACGTGCTGACGACACACAGTGGGTAGGTGGTACCGAAGACGCGACGTCACCAAGACAACTAGACAGCGAGAAGACGTCGGCGAGTAGGTTAGGTGGAAAAAGACGGCGGGCGGAGTATTGCCAGCCACGAGAGAGCGGAGACAGCAACAGGCGCCGTCAATGTCCCGCATCCGCAGGGCATCGCGCAGAGCGAAGGCGGATCACACTTTGTCGTGATGCGGTGAGGTTATTCGTTGTTGAGATAGACGAGGCCGGGGGTGGCCCCTGCTGCTAGGCGGGCGATCCGAAAGCGCTTCGCCACGACGGGCGAAATCTCAACGCTGGACCCTTCGATCTTTGCTTACGACACGCGACAATCGCGCGATGGTGGGAAAAGCAGCATTGCGGCTTGCCAGAATGCGGTAGTCTAGAGGACGCCGCTGGTTTCCCAGAGTATCGGCTCATATACGGGCCTCCAAATCAGCTTGTCCTGCGGCAAAACGTCCAGATGCCGGATTCGGTACTACTGCTCAGCTACCCCGGCTCCGGGACAGCGATTGGCCATGCGTGGAATGCGACTCTACCCACTGATGAGCCGCAGCAACAACCTGCCTGAACCCAGTCACATTAACGCTCCACAGTCAGCTCCCGGCTACTGGTCACCTATCCACACTGGTCATTTGTACCAGCAAGTCACAGCGCGAGCTGAAGGGACTACCGACGTCTCTGGTACCTGGACCCCTGCGGGCGAAACCGACACCATTCCGTACCCGCAACGGAGCTCCCGTGGTGCACTGCCAATGGTGCTGCGCAGATGAGCTTTCTGTACTCCAGCATACCATGCTTCCCAGCGATGGCCAAGCCCCACTGGAATTCGAGCCTTTGTGCACGGCTAGCTGGAGCATACGGGTGGAGATCTGGCTCGCCCTGAGTGAAGGTTATATTCCTGTCCATTCCCAGTCCCGTGCTCTTTGGACGCTGGTGACGCTCGTTCCTCAGTCTCATCCTACTATCGATTAACATCGATTAACAAACGTTCACGGCTTTCGAAACACACACGCCATCACCATGAGGTCTCCCCCGCCCGAGGTCCTTGCGACATGGCCCAAGCCGAACTACGTCGACCCCGTCACGAGGGGCTCAGGCCTGATGATTGTCGAGTTGACATTATTACCCATCGCTATGATTGTCGTCTTCCTTCGACTATGGGTACGGATAGCATGGCTCAAGAAGAGCTGGTATGACGACTACCTCATGATCGTGGCAATGGTTTTCAGTATTGGTACGGTACCCGAACTTGTCATTACTTCCTTCATCTAACTCCCTCCACAGGCACAACAGTAATCGTCATCATGGCATCCCAACTGTATGGTTGGGATCGCCACGTTTGGGACCTCAAGCCGCACGAGCTGATGGTCGGTAGACAGGTACGACAATGTGCAACCCGTGTCACCACACGCTGATATTGACGGCTTTAGGCTTCCATGGCAGGCCAAACACTGTTCGTCCTGGCCTCTTCCACTGTCAAGATGTCCATCCTCATCTCGTATTTCCGCATCGCGCCAGAGAAGTCGCTCTTCCGCAAGCTCGTCTGGGCAACCTTTGCCCTCGTGTTCGCCGCCTTCGTCGTTTTCCTGGTCGCACTCTGGGTACAATGCATGTAAGTACATCCACGTGATCAATTCAATCCAGTGCTGACAACCACAGCCCAATCTCAAGCTACTGGACACTGCAAGCCGACCACCGCGACTGCATCCCTGAAGGACCGCCACTCGTTGTGCAAAGTGTTCTCAACGTCGTGACCGACTTCATGATCTACGCGCTACCTATCCCCACGCTCTTCGGCCTCTCGTTACCGACCACCCAACGTATCGGTCTCGTCATTCTCTTCTCGGTCGGCGGTGTCATCGTTGTTGCAAGCAGCTTCCGCGCCTACTGGGTCCACTACACACTCTTCGAAACATACGATGCCACGTGGGAGGGATACCAGATTTGGGTCTGGACTGCCATTGAAACAAACGTCGGTGTCATCTGCGGGTGCATTCCAGCGCTCAAGCCTCTGCTCTTCCCGCACCGGGCAAGACAGCAAGGGTCCAAGTACGGCAACAACTCGCAAAACAGCAGAAGGAAGGAGAAGATCACGCCT